CGCGGGGCCGTACGGGGCCGTAAGGGGCGGGCGCGGGGCCGCTCGGGGCCGTAAGGGGCGGGCGCGGGGCCGGTCGGGGCCGTAAGGGGCGGGCGCGGGGCCGTTCGGGGCCTCTAGGGGCGAGCGCGGGGCCGTACGGGGCCGTAAGGGGCGGGCGCGGGGCCGGTTGGGGCCGTAAGGGGCGGCGCGCGGGTCACTAGGGGGCGGGTCGCGGGTCGCGGGGCCTTAGGGGGCCGTGAAAAACGAGGCGCCCTAGGGCGCAGGTAGGTAGGTAGGTAGGTAGGTAGTGGTGGGCCCTAAAAAACGGTCCTAGCGAAGGACCTGCTCTGAAACCATGTCGGAAAGAACGAACAGGAATGATGAACTAACAGTCCAAAACAGTACAAGTACCTAACCCTAGAATTGTGTACCCCGTATAGGCTAACCCACTGTAGCCTACACAAGCACAACATATATAATGTTTGACACTTTTGACTTGTCTTAAGTCCTCGATACTTTAAAATGTAGTATTGTCGGGCCCAGGCTGCATGTCGATTTGTTGGAAATCCTCGAACAGACATTTTATTATAGTTTACCATTAATCGTATGGTGAAACGAGATCCGTCTTCGATGATGCCTTCAAGCCTTTCTTTGTTCGGCGCAATGTTTGGAATTGAAAAATGGATATCTCCATTAGAATCAATCCGTTCGTCAGATATGCTGAACTTTGTCATATCTTCTTGTTTTTCGTCCACACAACTTCGATGCATGGTCGCTGTTCCATGACACGGATCGGTACTAGATGACATATGCTCGCGTCGAGTAGGCGACGTTTCGAGAACGCTCGATTGTTCCACATCTTCTTGCATCTCATTCATACAAAAAGAACGCCCCTTTGTTCGCCTCCCACCTGAAGATTATTCTACCAGAACATGTTCACGTTGCATGCGCAACGTTTCTGGCACAAATGGTTCTTCTTCGTCTTGCAATTTGTCGATACGAATTGAACGCGCGCAACTTCCTCGAGCAACAGTTCTTGAATCCATCTGCTCGTTGAAATTTCTGGACGATTTTGAGACTTCTTCCAGTACATCAAAACCACGTCCTGCACTGCTTCCTCGTTCAAACGAAACGTCTTCGAATGTAATGTTCTCATGCTGCATGCCGTATATTACGGGTTCGGCTCCTCTAACAGGGGTGCTTGACTCTTCCACATTGGTACAAGTAGCTCGTGTGCAGCCTTGTCTCTCGCTCGAAACGTTTTTTTGTTGGAGACGATCACGTTGCGTACGCTGCCTTTGGGAACTCTTATTTCCTTTGCTTTTCTCAGTTGACATTTCGAAGTCAATGGTTGTATTCGACGGAGTAAGAAACAAAGTTCCCAAAACCTCGCCCTCATGACACTCTTCAAGAAGAGTATAATGATCGTTGGATAACAACAAATGAATTTGGTTATTGTTGGACAAAAATTCCAACCCCTCATATTGCATCCACTCGCGAGGATCAAGACATATAATAACCGTTCTGTTCATTAACTCGCAAAATGCTCTGATTTCGTATGCTGAACCCCAAACCGAAGGTTGTTCGATATATTGAACGTATTCGTCCACAGTCGTTAACGATACATCGTGGCACAACGCAACGAAGTTTTGGTACCTCGACCAGTTCTCGCAAACGTGCTCAACAATTCTCACTTTCAATGGGTTCCAAAAACTGTCGTCATTCCATGTTGCAAGCGAAAGACATCTATACAAGCATGCCCTATCCCCACGCACAAATCGCTTACGAAATACATACCTTCGTCTTAACTCACCATCAAACGAAGGCCCCATGAAAAGCTGGAGTGAAGAAGACTCCATAGCTAAACGAAAACAAGCACGCGCAAAATCTGCTCCCTCGTTCACCTGAGTACACACACAATTTCGTATCAACCAATAGCAGATAACAATACATTGTAAAAGCTGAAGTATTAATTGCATTGTACAATGGTGTTGAAAAAATACCAGGAATATGATAATGACATTTGTTTTACTAAACACGTGATGAAATATGCCCATCAAATTAAATATAACGGTATACTATCAGACATTGAGTTCTTCATATACAAGCATTACATTCGAATAAGTTTGATATCTACTATCTCGATAATTCATATTGCTTACTAAGATCACTCCAGCAGTTTGCGCAATGCTAGATAAGAACGATGATCGATATATTGCCGATGGTTGTGCAAGCAAATGGACAGGAAACAATATTAAAAAATTCCAAAGTACAACATACCAAGAACTATTTAAAATTCACAAAACATTCTTCAGCTAGCACTAGACCTTAAACATTAAACTCAAATACAATTTCAAATGGACTAAAAATGAAAAACAAAAACAAATAAGACAAAAAAACATAGAACGCATCTCATATGCTCAAAAGTCTCTAAGATTGGTGTTACGGAACCACATACTTGAATATCAGAGTGGATTATAATCAGCTACTCGACCAATTGAGAGCCAGGAATTGTCAAAGGATCTGAAATAAAAAACACAAGCAAACAACACTAGTTCATGCTTCTAAAAATCAGAAAAGACACATCAACATCCTGGAATTTGATAAAAATATTGAACCACAAACTTGAAGAATTCTAAAAAAAAAAAAACAAACATGCATCTTATAACATCTTATGAATATTCAAAAATTCAAAATCAAAACAAAACAAGCATTTAAAAGTTGGAGAAACAAATAAAGATTCGCATTGTTCGTCAAGCACGAAAAAAAATCTCCGATGATAACATTACCTCTGGTACCTTCTCCGTTTGGATGTCACAGAACCGCTTTCAATGGACAGATCGTAGCCGCCAATTTCTGTAGTCTGAACAAGCAACAAGCATTATACAAACAGCAAACAAAGATTAACCATCCATACAACAAAGTAAAATCCAAACCATCAAGAAATGATTAACTTTCAAGAACATCCCAATAGAACACAGGAAATAAATATTAAAAAGAAAGCCAGCAACATGATAAATGATACAAACAACAAAAAAACAACAAATAGTAAGATAAAACTACCTATATGAAGTCCCACAATACTGAGGGTAAAAAGAAGAGAAGAAACAACATCAATAGAAGCAAAAAAAAAAAAAATAACGCAAATACAAGTGGCATTGAGAAAACCAACCTTCTCAGCTATCATGATCCCTCAACTACTACCAAAACCAACTTTCATTCTTATATGAACTTAATAAACGAAATACCAACTCTAAAAAAAACGTATAACTACTGGCATAAAAAGAAAAACACAAGATCATATGTTCAACACTCTTTAGAATTGGTTCTACAGGACACATACTTGATTTGTAAAGAGTTGCTCAAGAACAGCTACTCAACGAATTGAGAACCGGAAATTGTCATAAAATCTGGAAAAACATAAAACAAGCAATAAAACATCACATTAGTTGATGCTCTTAAAAAGCTACATGACACAAAATTATTATTACGCAACTGCAGTTACAACTCTCACACTTAAAACTGCACACTAGAATTTTTAAAATAATAACAGATCATGGCATCTGAATGTGTCAAAAACAAGACCTTCAATGGACGATGTTACCTCTGTGGATCGCGAAAAGAACCTTAAACCACATAAATAAGGAAAACAAAAGCATAAACAAAAACAAGGGTGAAAACAGTAAAGGCAGAAAACATGGGGTAGTATTAAAAAGATGGATATGATATTGACAGCAGCCTAAACACAAAACAAAAAAAAAACAAACAAAAGATGAGAAAACAAAAGAGATTATCTCAAAACCAAGGACAGGAGCAGACTTGGTGAATATCCTGTGCAAGGAAGTTGACAAAGAACAAAAAATGCAATGAAATTATTCAAAAACCATATTGTTTTAAGAGTGCATCTCAATAATAGTATTTGAAACCGTGACAACACAACAAAGTTTTGAAAACATACACTGATAATCATACACGTCTTTGAATCCGGCGGGGAGGCTTTCTTCTTTAGCGGCTGATAGACACACACACAGGAGATTCGGCATGGGGAAGCAATCAAGGTAAAGCAATCAAGATAAGAATAACCAAAACAAAGGATCTGTTTAAACTTAGCTTCACAAACAGAAAACGGTGAAAGACTAATATTAGAGACATTTCATAGTTGTTCTGGAAAGTTAGAGCATGGAATCTTACCTATGGACGCACGTAGGAAGTGGTTTGGCTTGAATATCTAAGGTAGAAGAACAAGAGTTGAAGGAGACTTGTGAGAAGACTTCACAAACAGCAAGCTCAATGTTGTGGAACCCAATGGAATAAGACTTGTTTGAGGAGGAAGAGAAAGATGGGTGCTTTCCCACAAAACGTTTTTTTTTTTTTTGTCCTGTGTGAAAACTGCCCCTGAAGAGTCTATCATAAAATGTATCATGAAATTTGCTCACATGTTGATGCACATTCCTCAATTTCAACGGTTTTTGTTGCCCTATTGTCACTTATCCAAAGAGTTGTTTCCATTGGACAGAATCAAATGGTCCTTTGTTATTTTGTCTTGCCTCACTCAATGTTCAAACAATGCAAAATCTGCACATGGCAATAGCTAAAACTGTTGGCTTTAGTGAGATGGGTCTCAAGTTGGCATTTGTAGTTTGTGGCACTTGAGATTCCATGGCAGATGCAATTTAAACAGTTGGAATCAGATATTTCTAGAATCAGATGAGTCCTTAATTTTACAGTTACTACATTAGAAAAAGACACCTTGAAACCGCGTCAACAGTGGCTACAGCTGGCAGAAACAAACAACTCAAGTGGCTTTGAGCAGTTTTAACAGCTGTAAAAAAACTGTCAATCAACCGTTTCGACAGCTGTCAAAAAACTGTGTGGTGTGTGTGTGTGTGTGTGTGTGTTTTTTTTTTTTTCTCATTATGAATATATCCAAATACACCGAGAGAACAAGCGTATAAGTGATATATGTCAGTCGTAACTGAGCGTTAGAGGCCGAACCCCCTAGGTGGCCTCAGGGGAGGCTTCTAAGGCGGATGTAGAGCTCCCCTTGCCAGACTCCAAAGCGCGCCGAAACTGTGCGACCATTTCCAACCTTTCACCGTCATGCAACGAATGCGGCCAAGTAAGCCGTCCTCCTGCTCCGCCAGCGCATGAGTTCTCCTTTGTCCCTTCGAACCACCACCGCTGCCAAGCTTCTTTCCCATTGCTCGCGTGTACACCTTCACATGCAGCCGAAATGCTGCCTCGATGCGCCTGAGTACCCGCCGGGACCGGAATCTTTTCCCCCGAAACACACAATCACATCGCTCTGCCCAGATCTGGCGAACAGCGATTGCAGAGAGGGTTGCTTCAGGAAACGCTGAGGCCGATGCTGCCTTTCCGAACAACAGGTCCCCCAGGTCCGACACCTGCCTCGCAGGGTTTAGCATGCGCATGGACCGCTTGACCGCCACCACCACCTGATGAATGCGCGGGCAGCTGAAAAGGCAGTGCTCCAAAATTTCAAACTCCCCACAGTGCGGGCAGACCGGCCTGCCACTTAGAAAAGAGAGCCTCTCCCCTACTTGCAGGTTGAGGCTGTGGATCCTAAGCAACACATCACGCGGCCTGTTCGGTGTCACCAGCGAGTCCCGAACTTTGATAACTTTCTTCCAGTCGATTTCCCCCGACCATCTGCCTGCCCACAGCTCCCGCTTAGCGGATTGACGCTTCTGGCCCTTCCAACATCCCTTCAGCTCCTTCAACGACGCCACTTGCCCATCCTTGAACAGAGCCGATTTCTGAAGGCGGGGAAGTAGAGGCGGAGGGCCCAATTGCTCGGCAGACAGTAGACTCTCCTTCCAGGGCTGTGGCACCGCTTCCCAAGCCCGTAGTGCCAGCTTCGCTTGCTTAGAGCCTCCCAACTCCCTTGTCAGGGTTTTCACATCCTTGACCTTACGACCCCCCGCACCATCCGGTAGCAGAAGATCACCCAGCCCGAGCTCCCACAGCTTCGCCGCAGCCTTCTGGCCCCCCACCGGAGCCTTGCCGTTGAGCAGGATGTTGCGGTTAAAAACAACTCGCTCCACCGCAATTTCTTCCTTCAATAGAGCCGGTAGCGAGTCGACCAGCGGCGACTGCATAAAGCTCCCGCAGGCCAGCTTCCACCTCTCACTTTTCCCACGCCAACACTTCAGAAGCTTCACGTGAGCGACGAAGGTGTCAGTCCCCAGCGGCAGGTCCGCCGCTGCGAGCATAATGTCCCGCTTCAGTTCACACGTCTCGGTGAGCAACAGTCCAATGCGCCTGGCAGCAAGACAGGTGAGCTCTATTTCCGGGTTCCTCACTCCCACATCGCCATCAGCTCTAGCTGTATACAGTAGGTCCCGGCTCCACAGTATGAACTTCTTGTCAGTGACCCCATGATTGCCTAACACGAAGTTGTGCGCCAGCTTCAAAATCCTCCCCCAAATATCCACCGGCGGCGGGTACACCTGCGCCTGAAAGAAGATTATAGGTGAGATGTAGCAGTTGATTACCGCAACCCTAGCACCTGTGGTGAGATGCTGCGTCTCCCATTGTCTCAGCTTATCCTTGATCCGCGCAAAAGCCTTTTTCCAGGTGGGGGCGCAGCTACCAGCCGGCGTCACCCACACGCCCAGGAGTCTCTCCGCTTCATCCGCCTTCACCCACTTGAAGCCGTCCGTCTTGCAGGCCTGTTTGTTCAGGTTACACCCGAGGGGTAAGATGGACGACTTCCCAATGTTCGTTGCTAGCCCCGATTCTGCCTCGAAGTCCGCTAACAGCCGTTCTGCTTCCGCAATCTGCTCTTCACCTTGCAGGATTAAAGTCGTGTCGTCAGCGTACCCCAGGTACGCCAGCCGCCGCTCCCCCTTTTCAAGACCAAGTTTCCTAGCAGCCGCCTGCTGGGCCAGCGGTTCCACTGCGCACAAGAAGAGGTAGGGCGCAAGGGGACAGCCTTGCCGCACCCCGGACACCACGTCAACCGCTTCCCCCATCCAGCCGTTGATTAACAGACTGGTCCGTGTATCCTTGTGCAGGCCCCTAACCCAGTCCACGAGACGGCTCGGAAAACCCATCCGATCAAGCACCGTGAACTGGAAGGTCCTCGAGACCGAATCGAACGCTTTCCTAAAGTCGACCAGCAGGAGATACCAGTCATGGTCCTTGCTCTTCGCGGCCTCAATAACATCCGCAACCAAGCCCACCGTGTCCGACAGCCTCCTTCCAGGCAAGAAACCGTACTGCTCCGGAGAGATGACCTCATGCAGCACCCTTTTCATCCTGTCTGCCACCACCCTCGCAATCACTTTGTAGGTGAAGCTCAAAAGGGTGATCGGTCTGTAATTCTCAAGCTGCTCCCTCCCCCCCTTTTTGTGTAACAGGATGGTAACAGCGTCTTTCGTACTTGTCGGCAGCGTCGCCGTAGCCGCAAAATTGTCTACCAGCTTCATGAAATGCTTGCCCAGGATATCCCAGTGGAACTCAAACAGCTCCTTCGGCAACCCATCTTTCCCTGGAGCCTTGTCCTTCGCCATCGAACGGAAGGCAGCTTTCACTTCCTCCTCCGACCAGGCTGTACACACCGCCTCCGCCGACTCCTGCGACAGAGACCTCCCAGGAGCAGGAGACCAAGCAGACACGGCCTGCTGTCTATCGCTTCCGAACAGCTCCTTATAATACTGTGACGCCGCCTTCAGGATAGCTTCATTGTCATTCACTAGCAACCCGCCTGCGTTTAACTCCGTAATCTGCGTCCGCCCCTTTCTGGCTTTGATCTTTGCCGACAGGTGCGGGGAGGCCACCTCACCCAAGACTTCTTCCTTCAACCCAGCCATCACATGAAGACGCTCCTGCCGAACCAGCTGGTAGCTCTTCAACTGCGCCTCTCTTTCACCCAGCAATTTTTTCAGCCGAGTACACCCCGGGTCACCCAGCCACGCCTGCTTAAGCTCCGCAACCGACCGCTGAAGGTGAACCATCGTGGCCCGGACCCTCTTCCGCTCCTCTTTCGCGTAAGCCCGTAGAGCCGTGTTGAGGCGTGAGATTAAAAGCTCAAAGCCATCCCCACTCAAGTCCGCCTGCCGCTCCACGGCTTCGATCACCCTTCTGACCCCCGATCTGTCCAACATGTATGTAGGAAGCCTCCAGAGCCCCGGGCCCAACTGCACCCGCGTGCTCAACCTGAAAGCCGCCTTCACTGCAAAGCTGTGGTCAGAAATGGGGTCAGCCGGCATAATGTGTGAGGCGAACTCAACATGCGCCAGCAAAGACTGCGAGATAAGTGCTCTGTCTATACGCGAACTGGACTGGTTGGCGCAGGAGTAGAATGTGAATTCCCGCTTGTATGGATGTAGAACCCGAAAAGCATCTGAGAGGTGAAATGCGCCACAACGACGGTACAGCTCCTCATTCTCCTTCGTGCACCCCTTCCGTGATGTCCTGTCTAACATCGGATCTTCTACAAGATTAAAGTCCCCCATAACGAGCAGATGGGAGCCCGGTTGCACCGTGTCAACCACCGGACCCAGCACTCTGCGGATGAAAGCCTTACGCTCAGCGGCATCGGCCGGAAAATAGACCGCGACCAAGGTGATGTGAAACGTGTCAAGCCGGACGACAGCTGCTACCAGCCGACCAGATGGGTGAATGAGGGTGTTATGCAGTGACAGTCCGTGCCTTCGACAGATTAAAGCAACCCCGCCAGCTTTAGCGGTAGGAGGAGCTACCAGGATCTGCGGCTGCCTAAGTGAGTTCCAGTAGGGGTGATCATCAGTGAGTCTAGTGTCTGACAGTACAATGATGTCTGCTGCCTGCTTCAACCAGTTCTTTGTACGCTGTTGCTTGTTACCATCCCCCAGGCCGTTGACATTCAGGCCTGCAAATGAAAGTAAGCTCTTTGTACTCATTTAACCACTGCGTGAAGGCCCCAATGCATCCACAGGCCGGTGATACAGGGTACTACTACACAAGAACAAGCAACAGCGACAACCACACAGCTCCTCATCAGTGGACCTTGATCTCAGATCCCATAGTCCTTGCGGATGACGTGCAGACTCAGCTTCTCCAGCGAAGCACGCGTGGCCACCCCCAGCTTCTCCAGACCCAGCAGGTGACTTGCCGATGTGACATGGTCTGCAGCAACCATGAAGGTCTTGCCATGAGCTTTCCCGCAACTCTCCTGGGTGCACAGCCACTCCTCCCGATTGCTCCCAGTGGAGATGAGAACAAAAGCCGCATCCAGCAGAAGCGGGGTAACGAGCGGAGAAGCGCAGAGAGAAGCAGCTGCGAGGGACAGGCGCGACGTTAGCGACCGACGACGGTGAGTACAATAAACGACTGCGAAACCAGAAAGCACAGTTACCATTAATCCTATGCACCCGACCCACTGTCAAACTCCACTTCCCTATGTTATTCTGACGTTCCGTGACGAACGCATTATGAAACTTGTCATAATGGTGCCCACCACAGAGCGTGCAGGATATCAGGGGGAAGTGAGCCAACAGAGTCATGCCACCCAGCAGCTGATGACGGTATTCGTGACGCCAGCGGTGCTTGTCGCCAGCGTGCGGAATAACCAGGCCCTTGATCTTGTCCGTGTCAGCGCCGGTCACCGGATGAAGGACGCGGTGAAAGCAGTGACCTTCACTGAAGGCCGACTGCTTCCGGATCTTGAGCGGATGCTTCACCATTACCTCCAAAACCAGCTCCGGAGGAATGTCAGTGGGAACACCTTTGAAATACACCTCCAGCATTTGCGGACTTGTCGCCTTCATACGCAGGTAGGACGGATCTTCCTGGTGTAGCCAGAAGCAGTGAATCGTAGTTCCGTTGGGACGCTTATGATCCACCGATGTCTGCTTAATGTTCACAGCATCGGACTCTCGCAGGAATGACACCTGAAGACAACTGTAGCGGGTCTTGGCAACAAACGCGGGAAGCAGCTCCTGAAACTTCACCGTGGCCAAGACATCATCAGAAAGCATGTTTGCCCATACACGCTTCATGAGCGTCTGCACAGTTAGAATGACAGAAGCGACTTCATGCGACGGAATCACTGGAAAAAGCAGGATCACCGTCGAACGCAAGTGAGGTGAGATCCCCTTGCTCGCGTCAATCTCCAGCTCCTCATCAGAGTCATCTTCGATAAATGAGTCGTCAGCAGCCACCGTGGCCAACGCCTTCAGCTTCTCCTCGACAAAAAGGCAAGAGCTCCCAGCAGTAACGTCCGCCTCCGACGGTAGATTAACAACCACATCTGACCGCTTGCTTGGCGTTGACTTGCTCGCAGGATCAGAACCACCAGCAGGGTTTACCAAGGCAACATCAGCCGCAGCCTTACGGGAGTTCTTAGGAGGCATCGTCGTGCAATGATGACAAGAAACCGGCTGAAGCTCTGACAGACGGAGTTGTTGAGAACATTGAGCCGGTAGTCTGAGCACTTCACTGTTAAGTAATAAACATGCCAGAGCCTTATCCCAATGCTCATGGCGTAGATGTTGCTGGGCCGCTGTGGTAACTTCAGGGTCATCTTGAGTTATCAGTGTGTAATCCAGATAGCCAATTAATGGTAGCTTAGCTGGTAGCCTTGTGATGACGCATACCCCTGGGAACCACGCGTCAACCTTGGGCCTTGTTTGATTGATCAGTGTAACGCACCAGTTAGAGGAAAATAAAATGTTCGCCTGGTGAACATAAAACGTATATAATCCTCTTCGTCTTGCTGCAGCGATTACAATGCTGATAAGATTAAAGCCAACTGACAAATAGGCTTCACGCAATGTGAGTTCCAGGCTGGCGCCGGGCAGCCATGGCGGAGAGATCGAGGTTTCCATCGAGGTTCCAGGCCTGCCGTTTCCAAGCGAAGTGGAGAGCAAGAGTGTGTCGCACAGCAGAGAGTGCAGAGCAGAGCACGAGTGTGGTGAGAGGAGAGACGATTTTCGAGTCGACTTAAAAAGCCTTCTCAAGAATAGGAGAGCACGAGTGTGGTGAAGCTGTTGTGTTTCTAACTGTCGAAACAGTTTTGAAACACACTGTGGCAACTTTGCAACCACGCACTGCAATTGCGGGCTGACGTCAGCACCGACGCCTGAAATTTCGCGCGGAAGAAATGTTGGGCTGACGTCAGCAGCAACACCCGAATTTTGCGCGCGAGAAATCACAGCTGACGTCAGCTGCGTCGCGCGAAAATTCGCGCGAAAATAATCGCTGCTGACGTCAGCTTTCTTGCTCGAGCATTCGAAGAAGTTTCCTGGTTGGACCTTTCTGCGTAATTTCGAATCAGCGTTGCTGACGTCATCCGAAAAAATTGCGCGATAAAGGCAGCAGCACTCTCTAAGTGAAAACGATGGATAACTGGAAATATGGGAAAATATATATATATATCTAAAACTATTTCTGTTTATATACTTCCATTAATATATCACAGCCCTATCATGTGTACAAACAATCACCATCATTTTGGTTTACGTTTAAACAAACAAAATAACATACGAAACGGAGTTTCATATCAAAACATAAAAGAAAACATACTTTATTTTGATATGAATGTAACAAACAGATTAACGTTGTTCAAACTTACAATTGTTGCTTCGCAACCCTAAGACGATTTCGTCGCCTCTTGTTTTTTTTTTTTTTTTTTTTTTGGGCCCACCGGTTACCGCGCTACACGACCTACCCTGCCCTGTACCGCCCGCACGCACAGCCCCTGCCGCCCGTGCGTTGCTTTTCCTGCAGCCCACACGCTGCCCCTCGCTGCCCCGCGCGTCGCCTTAGCCGCTCGTGCGCAGCCCCTTGCAGCCCCGCGCGCCGCCCCAGCAGCCCGCGCGCTGCCCCGCCTGCCCCTCGCGGCCCCTTGCAGCCCCGCGCGCCGCCCCAACAGCTCGCGCGCTGCCCCGCTTGCCCCTCGCGGCCCCCCTTAGCAGCCCCGCGCGCCGCCGCAGCAGCCCGCACGCTGCCCCGCCTGCCCCTCGCGGCCCCTTGCAGCCCCGCGCGCCGCCACAGCAGCTCGCGCGCTGCCCCGCCTGCCCCTCGCAGCCCCTCTTAGCAGTCCCGCGCGCCGCCCCAGCTGCCCGCGCGCTGCCCCGCCTGCCCCTCATGGCCCCTTAGCAGCATCGCGCGCTGCCCCAGCAGCTCGCGTGCTGCCTCACCTTCCCCTCGCGGCCCCTTAGCAGCCCAGCGCGCCGCCCTAGCAGGCCGCGCGCCGCTATTCCTGCCCCGCGCTACGCCCCGGCAGCCCCGCGCGCCGCTTCCCTGCCCCGTGCGCATGCCCCGGCAGCCCGCGCGCCCTTGCTGCCCCGCGCGCAGCTCCCGCAGCCCTTGCGCTGCTCCTGCCCCACCTCGTGCGCCACCCTTTCAGCCCGCACCCAGCCTCTGCAGCCCTCGTGCCACCTCTGCCCTGCCCAGTGCGCCGCCCTTGCAGCCACGCGCAACGCCCTTGCACCTGCGCCCTGCCCTTGTGCTGCCGCTAAGCTGCTAAACTATGGCCACTCTACATGTTCTCTCCTTTGATCCTGACGGCCTCTCAATCAAATTCGACACCTAGCTCCAAGACCTGCAGCTGTACCTACTGAGCGACGCTAGGGACGGTGTTTCGCTCTATGACCTAGCGACTGGTGCCTCCACTGCCCCACCAGCCTCCGCTGACACGACGACTCACTCACAGTGGCTTACCCGCGATGCTGCTGCTCGCCTAGCCATTCGCAACCACCTGCCGGTAGCTGACTGCGAGCATTTTGTCCAGGCGAAGACTGCTAAGACCCTCTACGACGCTGTAGTTCCCCTACCACTGCAGTGCTTACCCGCCTCTTCCTGCCCCCTTTTCCCTGACCTCTCCTCCTTCGCCGTTGTAGACGATCTTCTCTCCCACCTTCGCGCTATGGACGCTCGTTACCGTGCTGCCCTCCCTGCCGAGTCCCTGCCCAAGAACGAGCCCCCGATCTATATCACTCTCCACTTCATAGTGACACGCCTCCCTGACTCTCTTAGTGCAGTACGAAACACCCTTCTCGCTCTCCCCCCCACAGACCTCACTATCGACCTGCTAGGGAAGCACCTTCTTGCAGCTGAAGCGAACATTGTCGTTGTAGGTGCTACCCGTGGCACCCCTCGCACGCCCTTCTTTGAAGGGTGCTCCCCCTCCCCCCTCGCCCCCTCTGTTGCCTCTGCCGCTGCTGTCGACTTCCTTAGTGCTGAGGAGGTCGGTGACGCTTCTGCTCCTAGTGGGAAGCGCCGCAGCGGCAAGGGCAAATGGGGCAAGGGTGGTGGGGGTGGCGGCGGGGGGGGGGTGGGGGGGGGGAGAGGTGGTTGGGGAGGCGGAAGTGGTGGAGGTGGCGGTGGGAGTGGTGGAGCGAGTGGGGGCGCAGGCAGCGGAGGTGGCGGTGGCGGCAGGGGTGGTGGTGGCAGTGGGAGCAGTGGTGGCGGGAGTGGCAGCCGCGGGAATGGTGGTAGCGACGTCGGTGGTGATCGCTCTGGCGCAGTTCAGCGGCAGCAGCAGCAGCGTCCGCGTGAGGCCCTCTCGCCCCAGCAGCTTCGTGAGTGGCTTACTCAGCGTCCGGCGTCTAGGGGTGGTGGTAGTGGTCACTGCTCGTACGTTAATCGCACAGGTTCCCGCGCTGGTCAGACGTGCGGGAAGTTTCACACCCAGCACCGCTGTTTCTCCCGCCTAGACGACGCTTGGCGTCAGGAGATGGGTGATGAGTGTGAGATGCCCCGCTGGGCTGAGCTGTATAAGGCTGGTGTTGATATCTTTGCTCTAGACTTTGATGCTATCATTGCTGGAATGTATGCTCTGTCTACTAGTGTTGAGGGTGACTGTTACTTGTGTGCGTCGTATGACCCAGGTATAGAGGCTGCTGCCCTAGGTGCTAGTGAGTCTGCTCTCTCTGGTACTGCGCCTGCTGAGGCCTTGCACACCTTCACGCTTGACTCAGGTGCTTCCCGCTGCTTCTTTCGCGACAGTACCACAGTCACACCACTCACCAGGCCTGTTGCAGTTTCCCTGGCTGACCCCTCTGGGGGCCCGGTTCTTGCACGCTCCTCTACTGTGCTCCCGTGCCCGGCCGTTCCGTCCGGTTCCCTGTCTGGTCTCCACCTCCCCTCGTTCTCGACGAACTTGGTGAGCAACGCAGTCCTCCAGGATGCAGGGGTTGATACCTTTACACCTGGATGGCAGCGTGTGGCGATCTGTACGTGCTCTCGGACTGGCCGTCACCTGGCCACGTTCACTCGTCGGCCGGGGTCGAGTCTGTACACACTGACTACTGCGCCGCCTCAGGTCGCTGCGTCCGCTCAGGTGTCCTCGCCAGGTCCGGTAGCAGCCCCCTGTGAGTGTCGCCGCTTGTCGCACCAGACTCTCCTTTGGCACCACCGCCTTGGTCACCCCTCCCTGCCACGCCTTGGTGGCAGGCACTCTCGTCAAGGACCTCTTAGGTGATCTGGACCCACGCCTTCTGGTCTCTGGTCTTCCCAGGTCTCTGCCTTCCCTCCCACCCTCGCCTGCCCCGCCCTGCATTCCTTGCGTCGAGGGGCGGCAGCGCGCCGCTCCTCACTCCTCCTCGTTTCCCCCGACGACAGCTCCTCTGCAGACTCTCCACATGGACGTGTGGGGCCCAGCCCGCGTCCAGGGACAGGGCCGCGAGCGCTACTTTCTGCTGGTTGTTGACGACTACTCGCGTTTCACACGGTCTTCCCCTTGCGCAGCAAGGGTGAGGTCCCTGCTGTTTTGATCCCTTGGATCCGAGCTGTCCGTCTCCAGCTGCGCGAGCGGTTACGCACAGACCTTCCTGTCCTGCGTCTGCACTCTGACAGGGGTGGCGAGTTCTCCTCCGACCTCGTGAGGTCCTTCTGTGAGGAGGAAGGCATTCGCCAGTCGTTCACGCTTCCGGCCTCTCCACAGAAAAATGGGATTGCTGAGCGCCGCATTGGCTTAGTCATGGAGGTCGCTCGTACCTCCATGATCCATGCGGCTGCTCCCCATTTTTTGTGGCCGTTTGCGGTCCGGTACGCCGTGCATCAGCTCAACCTCTGGCCCCGTGTCTCCTCGCCCAGGCTACGTTGGAAGGGGGAGGTTGGCGATGCGTCCGCGTTCCGGGTCTGGGGTTCCTGTGCCTTTGTCCGCGATTCCACCGCGGGCAAGCTCTCCTCTCGCGCCATTCTCTGCGTCTTCCTTGGATTTCCCCCTGACGCGCATGGCTGGCAGTTTTACCACCCCACCTCGCGCAGTGTCTTCCCCTCTCAACACGTCACGTTTGACTAGTCGATCCCCTTTTACCTTCTCTTCCCCCACCGCACTGCCCCTCTCCACCCCCTGCCGCTCTTCCTTGCTCCAGGTCCCCCTCCGGTAGACCCCCTCCCCCCTCAGGGTCCTGCTCCTTCAGGTGTCTCTCAGGTAGACCCACTTCCCTTGGCTGAGCCTGTCGAGGTCACTGGTGACTCAGGTGCTGCTGGGGGTGGTGCTGCTTGGGGTGCTGAGCTTGGGGGTGCTGAGCCTGGGGGTGCTGCTTCGGGGGGTTCTGGGCCTGGGGGTGCTGAGCCTGGGGGTGCTGAGCCTGGGGGTGCTGCGTCTGGAGGTGCGGAGCCTGGGGGTGCTGAGCCTGTGGGTGGTGAGCCTGGGGGTGCGGAGCCTGGGGGTACTGAGCCTGGTGGAGCTGAGTCCACTGGTCGTCTTCTGGGTGCCTCCCCTCAGCGGTCTCCCCAGCGGGAGCCCCTCTCACCACAGCAGCTGCGCGAGTGGCTAGCTCAGCGCACTCGCCTCCGGCGCAGCGCTATTGGAGCTGGAGGCGCTGGAGCTGGAGGCACTGGAGCTGGAGGCGCTGGAGCTGGAGGTGCTGGAGCTGGCACTACTGAGGCTGACGGTGCTGGCGTTGGAGGTGCTGGAGCAAGAGGCCCCGTGCATCAGTGACCGTTCTTCGAGCTGCCGCCGCAACTGTCTGAGCTCCCGCCCGAGTCGGTGCTTCGCTAGGTTCTTAGTCTTCCTTCGTCCACTGCCCTTCCTCCTTACTCGCCGCTGCCTACCCCGTCTCGTTACACTGAGCAACCGCTCTCCCTTACAAAGCGTCGTGAGCCTGCGTCTCGTCCTGCCTGTTCGCGCTGTTCGCACCACTTGTCGTGTCCCGCGTCCGCGTCCTCCTCCTGTACCAGGAACTCACACTATGGCACTTCGTCCCTCCTCTGCTCCACAGCGCGTCTTACTGCCGTCTCCTCCTGCGTCCTCTCTTCCTGAGCTTCCTGACCCTGAGTCTGACCGTGTTCGTGCTGCTAGCCCCACCGTCACGCGTCTTCTGGCTACAGACATCATTGTCCCGTCGTTTGAGTCCACTACTGCGTCTGCCTTAGTTGCTGAGCTTGTCGACTTTGCTGCTGCGTGTCGTCTAGACTACGCCGCCAGTCTTGTTGCTGAGTCTGAGTCTGTCTGTCCTTCGTCCGTCGGGGGTGAGTATGCTCTTGGCACGGACGTCCTTGAGGACAGGCAGGAGGACTTTGAGTCTCTTGCGGCTGCTGTACCTCATCTCCTGGCCTGACTGCTTGCACATGAGGGAGACCCGGATGCACTGGACATCCCGACCCTGTGCTCTTACGAAGAGGCCATTTTGGGTCCCTACTCCTTTCAGTGGCAGACAGCCATGGACGCAGAGATGGCATCCTAGAAGTCTACAGCCATGGAAACTTGGCACTCCTGGAAACTTGGTGAATTCTGCGCCAAGGAACTCTCCACCATGGTCACTCCTCACACCAGCCGCATCGCTTGCCGCTCCACCATCGGCAACCAATCCTCCTTGATCGCCGCTGCAGCATTACTCTTCTTGGACAAGGGACGTGCCCACGTGAAACGGCTCCATTCGTCCACCATGGTGAGGAAGTACAACACTCCCCCAGTCCCCTCCGTCCTCATAGGACCCACCAGGTCCATGTGCACCACCTCCAAGGGTGCCTTCGCCGATCCCTCCGCACGTGGAAACGGGAACCGCGCAAACTTGTTTTGCATGCACGCCTCGCAGCTGCCATAGTGAGCGCCATCTCCTTGCAGTTGCAGCCCATGCACGCACTTCTCCTTGTGCATCACCTCCAATGTAGATACAGCCACGTGTGCGAGTCGCCGATGCCAAGTCTCCCAATCCTCTTGGCCCGAGGTAGCCGATGCCTTCACTGCCGCGCTTCCTCCAATCAACTCCTCTCCTTGCACACATTGCTAGTCCTCCTCAGTGACGCTCTCTTCCATAGATGCTGCGGCTTTCGCCTTGCCCGATTTCTGCCAAGGGAGGACCGGGATCTGCCACATGCGCTTGTGGACATCTCCCTTCCGCTGCAGGTCCCAAATGAGGCGCTCGTCGTTGTAGGCACGATAGCGCTCCGAGCCAATCGTCTCGGTGTTCACGCCCGCATCTCCCAGATTCGCACACAAGTCCGGCACCCACAGCACGTTTTTTAGCCCCACGAGCTCTCCATCCGCTCCCATGAACTTGGCGCATCCATGCCCATAACCTTCGCCTTGGCGCCCGTCGCGGATGTGACTGTAGAGATGGGTGCGGGCTGAATCTCATCGAGTAGGTCCGCACGAGGAGTCATGTGCCAGGAGCTTCCCGAGTCAATCACCCAATGGGTGAGGGGGTGTAGGAGAACCTTGGCAGCCATAGCAAGGTCGGTTGCGCCTTCATTCACGAAGAAGAAGAACCCGGCCTTCCGCTCCTCAGATTTGCCGCCTTTCTCCTCATCCTTCTCCTCTCCACTAGCTCCCATGACTCCCCCACTCCTCTTGCCACCATGCTGGTTGCTTGATGAAGGCGGGGTCCAATCCTTGGGTCGTTGGTAGCACTTCCGCCAACGATGTCCGCGCTTCTTGTAGTAGAGGCACACCTCCCCTTGACCCCCGCCGCCATCCTCCTTAGGGTTGTCCTTGTTCTTGCCCTTCCACTTCTTCTTGAAGCCGCTCTTTCCACCTCCAACTCCATAGCCAGCCCCCTCCTCCGAGCGCTCCACACTCCGGCGCCGCAAGTCTTCCAGGGTCTGCTTGTTGTCTAATCCACGCTCCATTGGGGTTGTTGGGAGTTGAGGTTGATGGCAAGGGCGGACTATGACTACGGTAGCCGTATCACGATCTCCACGCATTGCACGAGCTCCGGGTACACCACACCGCCGCCTTGGAGCTTCGTGAAGATGTCGCGCATCTCGTCCAACACCGGTTGCATCGGCTCTCCATCAACGAACTTGATGTCGCGCAGCCGCCGCGCGAGTAGCACGATGCCGGTAGCGTGTGTCGGTGAGTGCACATCCAGGAGCTTCCCCCAAGACTTGGGGCCACACTCTGGATCACCCAAGAGGTCCTTGATGTGGTCAAGTTGTCGTCCTCCAACCGCTTGCACCATGAGCATGTACGCGTCGAACGATCGCTTCATCCACGCTCCTTTCAGCTCCGCGGCCTCCGGCATCTTCTCCTTCCCCTCCACCAGGTCCAATAGCTTGTATTGGGTGTACATCAGCCTCATGCGGAAACTCCAGTGCTCGTAGTCCTCCCCCATGAATTTCTCGATAGAGAACGCCTTCACGGGATCCACGGTTGTTGGAGATGTTGTAGAAGTCGAGGGTAGCGTAGGGTTGGCTGGTTGGTGAGTCCCCACTCCACCACCAGCAACTCCCCCCTGCTCTCCAGCCTCTCTACCTCTAGCCATCTCGCCATTAGCACCTCTGAAGTCCGTTCCAGTCAATTGATGCCTTATGAACGGTGGAAACTTGAGAAATCGTTTGGAGAGAATTCTGCCAGAAATTTCGATTCTATGAAAATTGCCGTCGCGGACTGGATACTTTGAATTAGAACGCGGTTTGACCACCAATCGAAATTATGCAAGCAGAGCTACTAGAAAAAGGTCTCACTCGTCAACACTGGGTGAGAATTCACGACGATTCGTCGTCTCAAAGTCGACTACCCGCTCTGATACCACTTGTTCTTCAAGATCCTTCACTTCTAGAACTTACGACGAACTTAATCCTCAACTAAACGCAAATCCGCTCAGTAGGATGTTGCGCCTTAGGCTTAGCTACCATCTCCAATTTGAATCACTTAAAAAGATGGTCTATAGAATGAGAACCAATTGAAAACGTCTAGCTGCTACATGACTGGAGTGATAGAGGAAGTACAAGCATTAAGGCATAGAAAGTTGGAGTTGGGGACTCCAAGAGAACCATGAGAGGGAAGGGGTTCTCCAAGAGCTAGGGAAGGATGGTAAGAACCTTCCTAGCAGCAAGGATGCAACCCTCATCATGAGGTCCTTGAGGTGTCACATGCAAAATCCAATCTAGTTGGATTTTGCCTTTGTAACTTGGGCGATCTTGGTCGGAATAAGGCGATCTTGGTATCGTTGGAAAGCTCTGGATTTCTCCTGCATGATAAAGCATGTAGACTTGGAGAAAAACACAGAGATGATAATATCCAACAGCCATGCACAATAACATATGCTCATGCAAACAATGCATGCATGAATAGCACGAGCACTAGACAAGACGTTAGGATGACATGCACTCAAAATGACGTGCATCCAACATGTTTTACCCTTGAAAAATAGGCCTTGTTGAAAACTCAATAATTATGAAATTTCAGTCTCCACAAAGTGGAAGGTCTGAAATCACCCTGAAATCACGGTAATTACCTTGATAAAAACAACCATATAATTAAGAAGTTGCACTGCGCTATAAATACAAAACTGGATTCCCTTGACAGCACATGCTGATTGGACGCGCAACCTTGAGTGTATGTACTGGCAGTGAATCGTTCCATGCTGATGCGAAAGGCTTTCACCCACGACGACCCTTTATCAAACTGACTGGAGCTGGAGGTACTGGAGCTGGAGGTACTGGAGCTGGAGAAACTGGAGCTGCAGTTACTGGAGTTGGCGGTGCTGGAGGTTCTGGTGAGTCCGCACTTCACCACATTCTCAGTCTCCCACATGCGGCTACCGAGTTCATTGTCACTAGTACTACTCCTCGTTTGCTGTTTCCACTGCCTGACCCATCTCAGGCGCCATTGCCTAGTGACTCTTCTCTCCCTGTTCCTTCACGCTACTCCCCATTACCCGAGTCCCTCACCGAGCGTCGGGAGCCTGAGTCTCGTGCTTCCTCTCTAGCTACCTCGCGTGTTCGTGCTCGTGCCTCTCGTGCTCACCATGTTCGTCCTCCCCCTGTTCCCAATGAGCACATGATGGCACTTCTTTCTTCCTCTATTGCATAGCGTCATGTTGTCATCTCCTCCTAAGTCCTCTCTTCCCAACGTTTGTGACCCTGAGTCTGACCTTGCTCGTGCTACTAAACCTCACATATACTCTGACCACACTTGTCAGTGACCCTACCTTTGAGCCTGTTGGTGCGTCTACCTTAGTCACTGAGCTCGTTTACTTTGCTGTTGTGTGTCGTCTTGACTACTTCGCAAGTCTTATTTCTGAGTCTCAGTCTTACTGTCCTCCGTCCGTCGGGGGTGAGCTTGCCCTTGGCACTGACGTCCTTGAGAACAGACAGTTTAAGCTCGAGTGTCTTGCGGCTGCTGTACCTCATCTCGCTGCCATGTTGCTTGCCTCTGAGGAAGACCCAGATGCACTAGACATACCGACCCAACGCTCTTACGCAGAGGCGATTTCGGGTCAGTTCTTCTCTCAGTGGCAGATGGTCACCATGGACGCAGAGATGGCATCCTGGAAGTCCACATGCACCTACGTCGGTGCAGTTCCCCCTCCTCGGATGAACATAGTCGATGGCATGTGGATTTTTAGGGTGAAGCGGCCGCCGGGTTCTCCGCCTGTCTTCAAGGCTCGTTACATTGCACGAGGCTTCAGTCAGTGGCAGGGGGTTGACTTCTTTCAGACCTTCTCCCCCACCCCAAAGATGACTACTCTTCGGGTGTTACTTCACGTTGCAGCACAGCGTGACTACGAGCTGCACTCACTTGACTTCTCCACAGCCTTCCTGCAGGGCAGCCTTCACGAGGAGATCTGGTTGCGTCACCCTCCTGGCTTCACTGGGTCGTTTCCTGAGGGTACCTAGTGGAGCCTCCGGTGGCCAGTTTACAGTCTCCGCCAGACGCCCCGGGAGTGGCATGACACATCGAGGACGACACTTGCGGCTCTTGGGTTTGCTCCTTTGACTACTGACCCGTCGCTGTTTCTGCGCACCGACACTTTCTCTGCTACCGTTCTACATCCTCGTGTACGTCGACGACTTGGCTTTTGCAAATGCTGACACTGAGGCACTGGCCCTTGTGAAGGCGGAGCTACATAAGAGACACACTTGCACTGACCTGGGTGAGCTGCGCAACTATCTTGGCTTGCAGATCACCTGGGATAGAGCAAGGCGCACCATCACTCTGACTTAGTCACACATGGTACAGCAGGTCCTTCAGCGCTTCCCACTTTCAGTTCTCCTCGCCACAACCCACTCCTCTGCCTACAGACCACTCATTCTCAGCTCCACCTTCAGACGAGTCTGTAGAGCCGAGTGATGTGTACCCAGAGCTTGTGGGCTGCCGCATGTAAGTGATGAC